GCGTTGAGGGTTAGGCTGATATTTAATTTAGCTTAGACGGTAACCTCGGCGTTTTCATTGCCGTTTTTGTTGATGTGAACATTTAACTAATCGTTTGAATTGCCATTGGTATTGAGGCTAACGTTGACCTTAACTTTAACAGTGAAATTGGAATTAACTTTAGCGTTCGGATTGGCATTGACGTTTAAGCACATATTTAATTTTCTTGGACGGTAACGTTGGCGTTGACATTAGCGTTGTTGTTGGTGTTCACACTCCATTTTTGTTCGAATTGCCATTGGTATTGAGGCTAACGTTGACCAAACCTTGACAGTGACATTGGAATTGACGTTAGCGTTGGGGTTGTCAATGACATTTAGGCCGATATTTACTTTATCTTTGACGGTAATGTTGGTGATGACATTGGTGTTGGCATTGGCATTGGCGTTGATGTTGGTGTGGACGTTGAAGTAATCGTTGGATTTGCCAGTGGCTTTGTGGTTGATATTTACTTTATCATCTACGGTGACATTGGCATTGACATAGACATTATCGCTGAAGTTCTCATCGGCGCTGATTTTGAAGTTGACGTTGAAGTTGAAATTGGCATTGTGAGCATGTCGGGCGAGAAACTCAATACAACACTCCTGTTCTTCAGTCCATCGTGCGAGCCTATTCGTTGTCATGTCCCCTCGTCGTCTTCTGGTTCGCAGGTCCGCTGGGATGCAGCCATCTTGAAAGTCCATCACAATCCTTTTTAGAGACATGACAGCACTTTGTAAAAGGTATGAGGAAAAGCAGATTATCCCAGAATTCCATAATAGATAGACGATTGTGAACCAGTAAATTTCGTTCAAAGAGGCGAGAGGAAGTACTTGGTTCATCGTTCAGCCACATCCGATGAACCTGTACCAAGATTTTGCTTGTCATCATCATCAAAGCGTAAAACCATAATATAGGAAAAATGGTACCAATCATAATAGGCCAAAAAATAAGGGTTTATTGTTTATAAAAATATATATATTTAATGATAAATTTAGTTTTTTAGCATGTATTTCGTTTACAATCGTGAAGCTCACTTCCAGTATAGAGGATACATAACATATATATTGTGAGTTTCGATGAGGCAAATATGAATTTTTGATGAGATGTAATCATGCAACCCTAATTGTAAACGGAAAACATGTATTTTGCCCAACCATCCCACCCACATACAATAAATATTTCTTAGCATTATATATATAAGTAGGGTTTCGTGACTACATTTCATATGAAATACAT